TCGGCCCTCGAACTTTTCCAGAAATCTTCAGTGGTTGGAGGTGGGATGCAGGATTCAGGTTCCGTGACGTGCATCTGGTTTTAGACTATGAAGCTGTAAGGAGAGACCTTTGCAGGTTCACAGCTCTGAGCTAGTGATGCCGGAAACTTTTACCTTTCCACTCTTTGAAGCCCAAGTGTCAAAGCTTATGTTGTTCAAGCCGGGTACGGAGCTCAAATCAATTGAAACAAGGGAAGCCCTGCCTTTTGAAGGCAACGCTCCAAAACCTTTGGTCAGCCCCAGAAGAACCTACGTCACCCTTGAACGGGCGATGAGGTTAGGCAAGACTCCGGGGTGTAAAGGATGTGCCAAAATTGCAGAGGGTATTCCCCACTCAGATGAATGCCATGAAAGATTCAATCGATTGCTTGAACATGAAAAGGCAGCCGAGGCGGAGAAGCGATCATCTGCTCCCGCCACTCCAAAAGCAGCGGCAATGCCTGCTTTGCGGCAGAAAGCAAATACATGTCCAGCCACAAACCCTGAACAAAACAAAAAAAATTGGAACTCAATGAAAATAAGATGTGTTGGAAACGGATTCATGTGCAGCCTAGGAAGAGACTCTTTACTCCAGTTGGTAAGGATGTGCCGTTTCATGCAGACAAGATAACTTCACATCGTTTAACCGAATGGAAGTGTAGAAAGCGATGGTCGACCTATGAGGACGACTGGCAGCACGGTTCTCCCAACCGCCGCATTTCGTCGAAAAGCTGGACAGGTGTGACCTGGTTCTTCCCAAAGGAGCCAGGTGACACCAAACTTGCTAACGTCTCTGCAACACAACTAAACTTGCTGACTGAGTCGGACACTCTGAAAAGGGGTGACCATGCTGTGGCTTCTATCATTACGGACCTCCAAGAAGGGATTACAAAACCAAACATTCGAGAAGCCGTAAATGGACTTGTGCATAGTGTTTGTCAACACATGCCCTTGAATCCTAAATCAAAATCAAAACGCGGTACCAACCAAGTGATGTTTGAGTCTTGCTGTAGCCCCGACTCAATGATGGGGAAGATCCATGAAGAGCTAGGCCTTGGTCACATCAGACTCACTGCTGAGAACTCCGATATGTCTGACCGTCAGCCAGGGCAATCACTGCAAACAATGCGGGAAAAGTTTCCGGGCGCTGACCTGTGGGGCTCATTGCCACGCAGCCCGTGGTCAAATTTGCAAATGTGTGTGCACTTGCACGGTGAAAGCTACAAAAGAAATTGCGCAAAAATCAGCGCAAGGGGGCCATGTTGCCTTCGAGTGGCCGAAGAACTGTGCCGGTTGGTCGATACCGAAACTCATCAAGTTTATCAAAAGACACAACTTGTTTGAGGCGACCTTCGACGGGCGTGAATTTGGGTTGGTAGCTTCCGAAGGATTGCCACATCGCAAACCGTGGAGAGTGGTGACTTCTTCTTGGAGGTTTGCCAAGAACCTAAATGCGCACAAGTGCAAACACCCACATGGTTTTTCCCATAGCCAAGTTGCTGGTAACGAAACAGCACTAGCGGCATACCACCCAGAAGCCGTGGTCAGGTACATCGCCACAAGCTTGTATCCGTCCGTGACTGACAAGGACGTTCCTGCAATGCCCACTCGTGCTTTCAAGCAGCATGATCACGTGCCAAGTGATCAACCCGAGCCTGAACTCGACAAACTTGGTCCTACGATGAGGTGGTTCCAAGGGGCGTCTTGCTTGCCAGAAAGGAACCTCTAAACATTGGCAGACTCATGACCATTCTTTCAATCACTTGAACCCCGGAACTTAGACGGCTGAAGGCCAGAATTGTTTTTCGAGGTGGTGACATTCGGGATGAATCTAATATCCTAGCGGCCCTACAGGATCTCAAGGTTAGCCCCATTGACTGGGAAAAATGTGAATTTGTCTTATGGATCTTGTGAAGGAAATATTTCTCAAATGTCAGACGTTGCGCAGGCTTAAACCTAAAGTGATTTGCTCACTAAAGTTCCTACATGGGTGGAATTGCCGATGGAACTAACGGTCAAGGAGTTCCAACATATGAAACGGCCTTGTGTCAGGCTACGCCGTAGCTTGCATGGGCATCCAGAAGCCGGATTCCACTGGGATGCTAAATTCAAGCAAGTAATGGCATCACTAGGAGGTCAACACCATCTTTGAGTCTTTGTATTGGTTTAAAAAGGAACGCCTTTTAATGACCTTGTATGTCGACGACATGATTTTGTCATCCGCCAGGAAGTGGAGCGTCTCTGGACCAAAATTGAGGAACACCTTGAAATAGATCCGCATCCGCTGTGGATCGAAGGGAAAAACAACAATCAATCTTTTATGATATGGTAGATGTCTGTCGATCGTCTTGCAATCTATATGTGGCGCTGTTAAAGAGAGCTCTCAAAGAAGCTTCCACTCCTTTTGTGCCAGACGGTGCAAGTGTGAGCACAGATTGGGACGAGAAGGGTGCTCTAAGTACATGCGCCAGCCGGGTGCTCATGAGAATCTTGTGGTGCGCAAGGCTGGCCAGGCCGGATCTGATCAAACCAATCAACGACCCAACAAGGAAAGTGACGTGTTGGAGCTTGGCAGACGACAAAAGGTTGTTCAGACTCATGTGTTACTTGTACACGACTCCACATCTCTCATTGAAGAGTTGGATGGGTGACCCTTTCGAGTCGCTAAGTCTAAACTTGTACACTGATGCGGACCATGCGTCAGAGACTGAGCATTCCAAGTCGACGAGCGGGATGGTTCTGATCCTTCAAGGGCCAAACTCATTCTTCCCATTGACATGGGCAAGCCGCAGACAAACTGCATCGTCACGATCCACAACTGAAGCAGAAATTATCTCTTTGGACGCCGGCATATTCGGAGAAGCGCTGCCTGTTCATGAGTTGTGCGAAATACTTGCTAATCTGCCGCGATTGGCCTGATTTGTCATAGCAAGCTCAGGCACTTGTCAAAAACTCACAAGATAGACTTGGGTTCCTTGTATGAAGTTTTGCAAGATGATCATGTCCAATTGAGGTACATGACAGTTTGCATGTGTCATGTGTTTCAGTTCTCCAAGGGTACCAATCCTCCAAACGCATCCGCGTTTGGCTCAAGCTGCCCGAGGGTCCAAAGGAGTGCGTCCGCCATTTACTTGACGACGCGCGGTATTCTTTACCTTCTGGGGGCGACATTACTTGGATCGAGTTTGGGATTGCTTGAATCAACTACAACGAGCTGTTCTCTTCTTGATTCAATTGTTTGGTGACAAAAAGTGGAGCCCCGGTGTTGCTCAGCAAGGTTTGCAGACAAAAAGTGGAGCCCCGCTGTTATTCAGCAAAGTTTGCTGACAAAAAGTGGAGCCCCATTATTCAGCAAAGTTTGCTGAGTAACATTGGAGCCCCGTTGTGTTTCAGCAAAGTTTGCTGACAAAAAGTGGGGCCCTCTTGTTATTCAGCAAAGTTTGCTGAGAAAAAGTGGAGCCCCATTGTTGTTCAGCAAAGTTTACTGACAAAAGTCAGAGCCGCATTGTTATTCATCAAAGTTTGCTGCCAAAAAGTGGAGCCCCGTTGTTATTCAGCAAACTTTGCTGACAAAAGTGGAGCCCCGTTGTTATTCAGCAAAGTTTGCTGAGAAAAAGCGCAGCCCCGCTGCTATTCAGCAAAGTTTGCTGACAAAAAGTGGAGCCCCGTTGTTATTCAGCAAAGTTGGTTGGTTTTTTTGTCAGCAAAGTTTGCTGACAAAAAGTGCAGCCCCGTTGTTATTCAGCAAAGTTTGCTGAGTAACAATGGAGCCCCGTTGTGTTTCAGCGAAGTTTGCTGACAAAAAGTGGGGCCCTCTTGCTATTCAGCAAAGTTTGCTGACAAAAGTGGAGCCCCCCGTTGTTATTCATCAAAGTTTGCTGCCCAAAAGTGGAGCCCCGTTGTTATTCAGCAAAGTTTGCTGACAAAAGTGGAGCCCCGTTGTTATTCAGCAAAGTTTGCAAACAAAAAAAAGTGGAGCCCCAATGTATTTCAGCAAAGTGTGTTAAGTGGAGCCCCGTTGTTTTTCAGCAGAGCTTGCTGAATAACAATGGAGCCCCGTTGTTAGCAAAGTTTGCTGACAAAAGTGGGGCCCCGTTGTTATTCAGCAAAGTTTGCTGAGAAAAAGCGCAGCCCCGCTGCTATTCAGCAAAGTTTGCTGACAAAAAGTGGAGCCCCGTTGTTATTCAGCAAAGTTGGTTGGTTTTTTGTCAGCAAAGTTTGCTGACAAAAAGTGCAGCCCCGTTGTTATTCAGCAAAGTTTGCTGAGAAAAAGTGGAGCCCCATTGTTGTTCAGCAAAGTTTACTGACAAAAGTCGGAGCCGCATTGTTATTCAGCAAAGTTTGCTGACAAAAAGTGCAGCCCCGCTGCTATTCAGCAAACTTTGCTGACTAACAACAGGGCTCCACTTTTTGTCAGCAAACTTTGCTGAATAGCAGCGGGGCTGCGCTTTTTCTCAGCAAACTTTGCTGAATAACAACGGGGCCCCACTTTTTGTCAGCAAACTTTGCTGAGTAACCACGGGGCTCGCAGCCCCGTTGTTAGCAAAGTTTGCTGACAAATAGTGGAGCCTCATTGTTGTTCAGCAAAGTTTGCTGACAAAATGTGGAGCCTCATTGTTGTTCAGCAAAGTTTGCTGACAAAAAGTGGAGCCCCGTTGTTATTCAGCAGAGTTTCTAACAAAAAGTACAGCCCCGTTGCTATTCAGCAAAGTTTGCTGACAAAAAGTGGAGCCGCGTTCTTATTCAGCAAAGTTTGCTGGCAAAAATCGGAGCCCCGTTGTTATTCAGCAAAGTTCTTTGACAAGAAGTGGAGAGCAAAGTTTGCTGACAAAAAGTGGAGCCCCGTTGTTTTTCAGCAAAGATTGCTGACAAAAAGTGGAGCCCCGTTGTTATGCAGCAAATGTGCTTTTCAGCAAAGCTTGCTATGCTGACCAGTTGTGGCCCACTTTTTTTCACAGACTTCGCCGCGAAGTTGCTCCCAGGTGCTCTTGGCCTGTGGTGAAAGGCAGCGGCAGTGCCTGGATCTGAAGCTCATGACCCAGCGTTCCATCGCGACCGCAGCTGACGCCCCCCTTATCAGCTACTCAAAATACGCAGAGTTCTTGGATGAGGCATGCCAACCAAAGTGGGTGTCGGGTTTCCTGTTTTTTGCCGGCGTTTGAAAGGAAAGCGAAAAGGAAGACCGTTTCAGGTTTCCTTAAACAGGACACCCGCCGAAGTTGTCTTTTTTTTTTTTTTTTTTTTTTTTTTTTTGTTTTTTTTTTTTTTTTTTTTTTTTTTTTTTTGTTTTTTTTTTTTTTTTTTTTTTGTTTTTTTTGTTTTGTTCTTTTTTTTTCTTTCCTTAAACAGGACACCCGCCGAAGTTGTCTGGCGCAACGGAGCTAGCCTCAGCACGCCGGGTGGGTCCTCATGCGGTGTTTGACCTGCAGGCCCTGGCGCTTTGTGATCAGCTCCGGCGCAAGCACGAGGACCCGCAGACGCGTCGACGATTTCCGAACTTGCGTTGTCGTGCACTCGGGAGGTTGCTTTTTGTCGGGGCAATTGATCAGGCCCCTTGGTTGGTGGCTTGGACTTGAATTTGAAACCGCTTCTTGCAAAGGGGTCATGGGAAACCAGTCCTCCACCAAGCCAAGCCAAGCGGGAAGCTAAGAGGAGCTGCAGCAGCAGCGGATCCGTGCCATGGCCAAGCTCACAGACTTGAAGCTGGCGCCTAGAGAGGTCCAAAGCGGCTAGGTTCAGGGTAGGCCCAAGCAGATTTCGCCGTTGCACGGCAAAAGGTTTGGCGCGTCCTGCCTGAGCAAGAGAAGTGGAGATTGAAAGATCATAGGAGGACCTTGCGAACATTCCAGACTGCGCGGAGGAAAGAGCGATGGGGCCATCAGTTGGAGACCCAGATATGCGCCTGTCAGCCGGCTCAAACTCACAGCTTCTCCGGTTTGGGATGTCGTTTTGCTTCCTGGCGTGTAATTGGGGAAACCAAACGAAGACAATGGCGCTTTTCAGTTTTTTTCGAGGCATGAAAAGATGCGATTGAAAAAAACTAGAGAACGTTTGGCCCGAAAGCATTGAAAGCCATGTGTGTGTGGAAGGGATAAACTTGCGAGTGAGTTTGGCGAACATTCTTCAACAGTCGCTACTATTTTGTCCAACGCGAAGCCCATTGTCTGTTCCTTCCTGCGTGGCCCTTACGCAAGTCACGCAGGCAGGGCTCGAAAGGGATCTGCGCAGCTCTGTCTGAGATCACTCGTCACACAAGCGCTTCAGCGCGAGGTGCGCCAGGGCCGCAGCGCAGGGCGCGCAGCCAGCAAGCTCTCGAAGGCTTCTTGGCGGTGAGCTGGCCATCTAGCACGCGCCAAGCACACAGTGCTCCAGGACTTCTGTTGATGCCGCCGAAGCAATGGAAGAGCACGTTGAAATCCCAGTCGGGCAAGAATGCGCGCCATGCCACGCCACGCTTCAGCGCAAGTTTGCGCCAACTTCATGAACTGCTGGGGGCGGTTGGCGTAGGTCACGGTGAGGTCGTCCAGCTCCACCTGCAAGTGCTGCACGCCCGCCTGCGCGAAGTGCCCTGGCCAATCTAGCGGCGCTCCCTTCACCTGCATCTCCCGCTGCCAGCAAACACAGGTCTGCGGCTGACTGCAGGCTGCCCAAGAGGTATTTCTCGTGAGGCCCTTCTTGGACAAGCACGGCATCCACCGGCCAGCCGCTGATGTCCCTCAAGTTGTATGTAGAGGACCAGACAATGTAGTCCATGTGCGTCCACAGCCCTCGAGCGTATTTGACGGAGATCTCGCTCTGGCCAGCACGCAACCAAGCGAGCTCCTCCGAAGTCATGGCCGACATTGCAAAGATGGCTGCAAAGAATGTGGAAACAAGACAACAAAGCTCAGTGAGATGCGAAGCAAGCGGGCAAGCGTTCCAACAGTTCGAGGTTCTGAGATTAGCCTCTTGCTATGTCTGCAAGCGTGCTAGCTAGCCAAGTGCTGCACAGGCTGGTACTTCTTTTTTCTCGTATGTTAAACTACGCAAAAACTGCGGCTGCAGCCGCCGCGCGCGCTCGGCTTTCGCAAGACAGCGTCCAGCTGCCGAGGCTTGTCAAGCAGTCGACCACTTGCCGCACTTGACCTTCATGGGCGTATCCTGCAGCAGGTCAGCAGGTTGTCGGCTGAGCGCTTGTTGTCCTGCAATTGCGGGTCTTGTCCAAGCAAGCTCCAGATCATGTTGCGCTCTTTCTCGAAGCTATGGATCTGAGCGTCGCTCACGCGAGCCATCCACTCCACGTGCAGGGTGAT